AGAGAGAGAGAGAGAGAGAGAGAGAGAGAGAGAGAGAGAGAGAGAGAGAGAGAGAGAGAGAGAGAGAGAGAGAGAGAGAGAGAGAGAGAGAGAGATCACCCTTACAGACATAAGCTCCTTGTTGAGTCTAGCGATCCTCACTCTGAGTGGTATACATCACATCCAGTCCATGATTGTCCATGTTCTCCAACCAGCCCTGATGCTCAACCTGAACATTTTGCAGTCTCGGTGAATTTCTGAGGTTACGGCTCTGAACCCACTTCTTGTACAGCAGGGAGATCACACTCCTCCCCAGAAATTTTCCCTTCGTTTAATTTTTTCCTTTTTTTTCCCTCAAAAGAAAAATACTTAGCTGCCAGAACTTAACTCAAGTACCCCTCACCACTTAACATTTCCAAGCGTCCTAATGTTCGCGGATTATCTCACGGTGCTTGTAAGAACGTCCGACTCTTCAGTGAAAGCATTAGTCAGGGCAGTGAAAGCACTCAGACTCGCCTCCGAAATGAAAATCAATTGGAAAAAAAGAGGAGGCTGGTGGCTGTCTGAAGGGGAGCCTCTCCAGCTTGATGAAACAGAATGAGAGATGACATGGGACAAACCAGATGAACCCACAAAATACCCGGGGATTTTGGTAACTAAAGCTGGCCCGGCTACTCAAATGGCCCAGAATATGTTGACCGATCAGATCAACAGAATGGGCCGATGGGGTAATATGTTCACTTCACTACTAGGGAGAGCCTTGACTATCAATAACTCAATCTTCTCCATGATGTGGTATATTGCGTCGATTTGGACCATACTGGACCACACCATTAAGGATCCGAACTGCAGAGCAAGGGCCTATCTCTGATCAGGTGCCCCGAATAAAACCAACTATATCCCCAAGATTGCTTGGCATTATATCACGAGGAAATCATCTAAAGGAGGATTAGATATTGTCGATCCCAAGAAGGAAACAAAAGCCCTTCAGATCAAATGGATAGGCAAGCTACCAACTCAACCAAGGCTAGCATGGCATAAACTAGCGCTAGACAGCATCACAGCTCTGCCCCTATCCAAAGCCCGGCCAACATGTCTGGTCTGTTCTGGGTTAAGAATAAAGAGTGGAGCCCAAAGATTGGCTGCAAAAAGTGATCATTAAGCACTCTGCAGAATGGAACACGACCCCCTACTCCCTACTGGACTGCTCTCCTCCACATATGGAGAGGAATCATGATGAAAAAGAAGTCAAGAAAACCAAATCTAAAGAAGAAGTCCTATGCCAGCCCCTTCGTGAATTCTTGCGTGAGGGAAGCGGTGTGAGGAAACCCGGGGAGGGCTACTCCTGCTGTCACTGAAGCCAAAGGCCACAGCGTCTGTCAACCGTTACGCCTGCTTCCGAGGTCTCAGCGACGTGGCAGGGCATGGGGCGAAATTGCCTGTCACAACCCCAATTGAAGTCAATGGGAGGCCTATCTTTGGTACTAGCAAACTTTAAAGGAAATTGAATGTAAACGAAAATTAACGTCTTTCACGGAAGTTTCACCGATTAACAGTGTCCAGCAAGAACAATCCTCTGTATTTCAAGTGCAGACAAAGGGGACACCTGGGAACAGATGTCAATTGTCCGAAGACAAAAGAAAACGCAAAACTGAAACCACTCAAAACAGCAGACCTCCAAGAAGTAGCAAACAAAAGGGGATACTGGTATATCCCCGATGCCCAGTACGCAGACTGGGTGTTCAATGACAACTTAGACACACCTGACTGGGTATGGATGATCAAGGGAGAGCCAACCCCCAAACCGGAGGTCTACCCACCGTTTGACAGCAGGTGGCAAAAACTGAAAATAGAAAAGAAATCACCCAAATGTTTCACCAGAGATCCAGTAATAGATGTTGAATCTCTGAAGCAATAAATTTGGGAAAATGACTTATGTGCAGATCTGCAGCCGGTGCAGGAAACAACAGAAAGAGAGTGGGTGGAAGTGGTAAAACGAAGACAGGAGGAAGAAAGGAAAAAGGAGGAACAACCCAAACAAAAAACATACTCTAGAAGAACACAGAAGAGGCAGGGCAAATCCAATCAGGGACAGAACACGGACGCAGAAAGGCCGGATGAAAACATGGAAGAAAGAGAAGGGGACACAGGGCACCTAGAGGGGAAAGGAACCCAAAACTCGACAGTGGGAGAAAAGAGGAAGCACATCGAAGGGGTGTACGACAAGGAGGAAACCGAAGAGGAACAAGAATGGGCAGAAAACAGCTACCCGTGGTCTGAACAAGAGGAAAGCGAGTTCATCAAGCTCATTCACGTCTACAAAAAGTTGAGACAAGACAAATTCGAAATGCAGCTGATTCTGCACAAAGAGGAGCAGAAAAACAAACAGAAAATGGACATCACAAATCCAACCCAGCTCATAACTCTCTCAGAAAATCCCTTTGCACCGCTGGAGAGAAAAAAGGAACTTGCAGCCCTCTATGCGGAGAAATATTGTGCAGCCAAGGAGGATCAGACCATGGAAACAGATGGGGACAACGAAGTCGAGGCGAAAGAGAACTCACAGGTCAAGGGGAAAAAATTGCCGGACTACAAGCCGGACCTCCTAAACGACCAGGAGAAACAAAAGGATCAAGAATCTTTGGACAAAGGATCAACAACTTTAATGAAATTTGGCATCCAGGCACAGACATTGTACGCTCAATGTGACAGACTTGCAAAGCTGAACAGAGAAATGGAGCTACGCACAGTGGCGGTACAAGACCTACAACACAAGTCACACGAAAAGTTTTGGGAAAGAGCAAAAAAGGAAGCAAGTATGCTCTTACCGACAGGAGCGGTAATTCCCATTCAGGTGGATCCATTGACAAAAAAATGGAACGTGGCAGTACACAAGGATCTTTCAACCGCCAGATGGCAATTGGGGCAAAGAAGGGAAGATGTGCTGAAGAGGATCAGTAAGGGGAAAGAACCGAGTCACGGGGGACATTGAGCAAAGTCAAACGGAAGCCACAGGGGAATCAGGCAGAAAAGATCAGGCGCCATACGACGCAAGACCGTTGCTAGTCTGTTTCGATAAGGAAACAAAACTGTCCGAGGATATGCAATGGAGACCTTGGTGGTGGGTGGCAGCCTTACCGATCACAGCACTGGGCAGCGAAAATTCTATGATGCATAATGCAGCGGTACTTGCTACATTGGTGAAATCAGGGGTCCTCTTGCAGGAAGAGAATGAATTACCCTCCCTCCTTACCCCCCAGGAGGAGGAAGCAAAGTGCAGCTCCCTGTCCTAAACAAAAAACTTCAAGACCAACAAGAAAACAATTTCAGTAAACAATGAAAGTACTAAGGGGGGATCTGGCAATTCAATCCTAGAACGTGAGGGGACTAGCAAAAATTCTGTCAAACCCAACAAAGTGGCATAGTCTAATAAACACGACATGATGGAATGGTCCCAACCCCCCAGACATCTTGCTCCTCCAAGAAACCCACTTAACCAACTCACCCGCACACAGAACAACAGAAATGGAAATCATAAGGAGACTAAAAAACTGTGCAACAACAATATCAGCATATAACCTCTCTCCATCCTCAGCAGGTGTCAACACAATAGTACGCAGCAATGTGGAAGCAGCTCAACTAATACAAATTAATTCAACATCAACGGACACTATAGGAGGGAGATGGAACAAATTAGAGATGACACTCAGAGAGGAACTCACAACAATTAACTTATACGCCCCTAATCCATCCATAGAGAGGTCACAATTCTTTGAGGAAATTGGGAA